ATTATTAAAGACTAGTCTATAGACTAATCTATAGACTACACTATAGACCAAACTATAGACTAGACTATAGACTATACTATAGACTAGACTATAGACTATACTATAGACTAGACTATAGACTAGACTATAGATTAGACTATGGACTAGACTATAGACTAGACTATAGACTAGACTATAGACTAGACTATAGACTAGACTATAGACTAGACTATAGATTAGACTATAGACTAGACTATAGACTAGACTATAGACTAGACTATAGACTAGACTATAGACTAGACTATAGACTAGACTATAGACTAGACTATAGACTAGACTATAGACTAGACTATAGACTAGACTATAGACTAGACTATAGACTAGACTATAGACTAGACTATAGACTAGACTATAGACTAGACTATAGACTAGACTATAGACTAGACTATAGACTAGACTATAGACTAGACTATAGACTAGACTATAGACTAGACTATAGACTAGACTATAGACTAGACTATAGACTAGACTATAGACTAGACTATAGACTAGACTATAGACTAGACCTATAGACTAGACTATAGACTAGACTATAGACTAGACTATAGACTAGATCTATAACTAGACTATAGACTAGACTATAGACTAGACTATAGACTAGACTATAGACTAGACTATAGACTAGACTATAGACTAGGACTATAGACTAGACTATAGACTAGACTATAGACTAGACTATAGACTAGACTATAGACTAGACTATAGACTAGACTATAGACTAGACTATAGACTAGACTATAGACTAGACTATAGACTAGACTATAGACTAGACTATAGACTAGACTATAGACTAGACTATAGACTAGACTATGACTAGACTATAGACTAGACTATAGACTAGACTATAGACTAGACTATAGACTAGACTATAGACTAGACTATAGACTAGACTATAGACTAGACTATAGACTAGACTATAGACTAGACTATAGACTAGACTATAGACTAGACTATAGATTAGACTATAGACTAGACTATAGACTAGACTATAGACTAGACTATAGACTAGACTATAGACTAGACTATAGTCTAGACTATAGACTAGACTATAGTCTAGACTATAGACTAGACTATAGTCTAGACTATAGACTAGACTATAGTCTAGACTATAGACTAGACTATAGACTAGACTATAGTCTAGACTATAGTCTAGACTATAGACTAGACTATAGACTAGACTATAGTCTAGTCTATAGTCTAGACTATAGTCTAGTCTATAGTCTATAGTCTAGACTATAGACTAGACTGTAGACTAGACTATAGACTAGACTATAGTCTAGACTAGACTATAGACTAGACTATAGTCTAGACTAGACTATAGACTAGACTATAGTCTAGACTATAGACTAGACTATAGTCTAGACTATAGACTAGACTATAGTCTAGACTATAGACTAGACTATAGACTAGACTATAGTCTAGACTATAGACTAGACTATAGACTAGACTATAGTCTAGACTATAGACTAGACTATAGACTAGACTATAGTCTAGACTATAGACTAGACTAGAGTTTAGACTATAGATTAAAATTTATAGATTTTTTGAAAATATGTATGTTTAAACCAAACATTGTATGTGCATTCAGATCGCAGCTATCTTCGGGAAGTTTCCTGTTAAAAATTATTTGATAAATTGTGGAGATATGAGCAAAAAACGAAACGTATTTACGTATTTTGTAAAAAAATCGTAGTGCATGCAGTTTTAAGAAAACAACAACAACATACAGCTTCGTGCGGTAGATACTTATGTGTTGTTCTTGTACTTAGGTTGATTGTTATTTCAAAAGTCAGTGATGGAAAATTGTTCCATAATGGGGAGAAAAAAAAAATTTTAAATTATTAATTTAAAATTCTTAAAAATTATTTAAAAAAATAAAGTTTTATTTATTATATTTTTTAGTATTAAGTTTTTGTAAAAATAATAATCAATAATTAAAATTTGTTATTTCCGTCTCGTTTTTAGCCTCGAGTATTCGATACTCGATCACAGGCGGTAACATAGGCAATGCTTTTGGTGTACATAATAATACTGGAGCTATATTCGTAGCATCGCCCTTAGATTATGAAACTAGACCAAGGGTAAGTATGAGAATATTAACATGGTTATGGTAATGGTTCACAGAATAAGAATTAATTTTATGTTTTTCACCTATATTCTTAATCGAACTATATTATTTTAAGTTTTCTCAGGCTCAAATCAAATCAAAAATTTTCAATTTGAATTAGCTTGAATTAGCTGTCTTATATACGAATCGAACTCTAGCCGGAATAATTCATTAATTTTTGATACATCGTCTCACGTAAAAAACAAACTTTAGATGTGGTTTTTAGTAAACATCATTGTATTTTTTATTTCATATATATATGTTAAGTGCTACCAACGTAACTAATCCCCGCCCCAAATTACACTATTTTAGTTTTAAAATTATAAAAGATTTTAGAAAAAATCTCATCTTTTCTTTCCGGTCATAACATCAGGTATCAGAGCATACATAAAATATTTTGATTCTATGCCAACTTTTCCATCTTGTCGAACTTTTACAAATTAAAAAGTAGTACGTACGTTCGTACACCTTTTATGTCTATGCAAATGACACCGCAAAGTATGCAATAAAAAAACAATTACTCTTCTTTTTTATTTGACAACAATATGTTAAGTTTTCTTTTTCTCTCTTTCTACAGATAACACTTTGTAGAAATTATAAAAATCACATCAGTCATACATTAAACATAAAATAAGTGTGTGACAAACAAACATATTAAAAAAAAGTTGCAAAACTTTGCTTAAGTTCTTTTTTATTTGCAAATAAAATATTTTCTAGAAAATTAAAAGAAAATTAAATAAATACTACTAAAGATATTTAAAGCTTTTGGCGAACGCTGTTAAAATGGAAACGTCAACTGGGAGAGAAACGGATGTATAGGAATTTGAAAAATTAGCAGCGATTTCAAAAGATTATTTGATTTTAAAATCAACACCGAAGAACGCGATATTGCGTCAATTTACTTTAAGTTTTCTGCATTTCAAACATCAACATAAACGGTGAACTTATATGCTTTACAAAATCTCCTGTTAAAGATTATAGTAACTTAGTATAGTAAATTTAAAGCTTCTTGTGATTAAACAAGAAATTTTAACAACATTTGAGATTAATTTTTTAGATTTTAAATCTTCTTATTGAATATTTAACCCACTTTTGTTTCAAACTTACCCACAGTACTTAATATGGCAAATGTAAGATTTTAGTTTCCTTTTGTAGTTGCAACTTTTTGACATGCAACAAAAAGTATGGAGATCATAACATCAGTTACTTTCAGTCTTATATGAGATTTGCATATTAGCTCTTTTTTATATAAAAATAGAAACCAGAGCACTCTAATGGCATATTTATGGTGAACTTCTTTCTCTAGCAAAAAATCAGCAACATAAATTTTGTTGTGGCAACAGAGCAGCACCAACTACAAAAACTAAAAAAAAACAAAAAGCACATAAGTTTTATGCAGATTTTGTCGAAGACATTAAACTTTTTAAATATACATTTACACAAAAAATACTTAAAATAAAAAGTAGACAAAAAACTTTAGCAACTACTAAGTAGAAAATAAAATATAAAATATAAAACTAAAACTCCCTTATAGAATAAACTAAAAAGGCAGATGAAAATGACGTACGTGAAAGAAATTTAGATTTAAGTTATTTATATTATTACTTTTTAACCACTTTAACCACATAAAAGTTTAATTAAAATTTTCATCTATATGTTTTCTTTTGCAGTATGAATTACGCTTGGAAGCTTCACGTAGTCGTAAGACAAATTACACCACCGTTATAATAAATGTACGGGATGTTAATGATAATCCACCGACATTTGATCGTCAAACATATCGTACACAAATTACCGAAGAAGATGATCGTAATTTACCTAAACGTATATTACAGGTAAGTTTCTCTTAAAATTTATGAGTATGAGTGTTAAAGAATTTAACATAAATCATACGTATGAGGCACATTGTTTATTAAGGGCAATTTGAGTACAACATTTTTAAGCACAGAATGAAAAAAATGTTGACATATTGATTTTTGGAATAATTTATTTAATTCTAGTTCAGTTTTAGTTCAGTTCTAGTTCAGTTCTAGTTCAGTTCTAGTTCTAGTTCAGTTCTAGTTCAGTTCTAGTTCAGTTCTAGTAGTCAGTCTAGTTCAGTTCTAGTTCAGTTCTAGTTCAGTTCTAGTTCAGTTCTAGTCAGTTCTAGTTCAGTTCTAGTTCAGTTCTAGTTCAGTTCTAGTTCAGTTCTAGTTCAGTTCTAGTTCAGTTCTAGTTCAGTTCTAGTTCAGTTCTAGTTCAGTTCTAGTTCAGTTCTAGTTCAGTTTCTAGTTCAGTTCTAGTTCAGTTCTAGTTCAGTTCTAGTTCAGTTCTAGTTCAGTTCTAGTTCAGTTCTAGTTCAGTTCTAGTTCAGTTCTAGTTCAGTTCTAGTTCAGTTCTAGTTCAGTTCTAGTTCAGTTCTAGTTCAGTTCTAGTTCAGTTCTAGTTCAGTTCTAGTTCAGTTCTAGTTCAGTTCTAGTTCAGTTCTAGTTCAGTTCTAGTTCAGTTCTAGTTCAGTTCTAGTTCAGTTCTAGTTCAGTTCTAGTTCAGTTCTAGTTCAGTTCTAGTTCAGTTCTAGTTCAGTTCTAGTTCAGTTCTAGTTCAGTTCTAGTTCAGTTCTAGTTCAGTTCTAGTTCAGTTCTAGTTCAGTTCTAGTTCAGTTCTAGTTCAGTTCTAGTTCAGTTCTAGTTCAGTTCTAGTTCAGTTCTAGTTCAGTTCTAGTTCAGTTCTAGTTCAGTTCTAGTTCAGTTCTAGTTCAGTTCTAGTTCAGTTCTAGTTCAGTTCTAGTTCAGTCTAGTTCAGTTCTAGTTCAGTTCTAGTTCAGTTCTAGTTCAGTTCTAGTTCAGTTCTAGTTCAGTTCTAGTTCAGTTCTAGTTCAGTTCTAGTTCAGTTCTAGTTCAGTTCTAGTTCAGTTCTAGTTCAGTTCTAGTTCTAGTTCAGTTCTAGTTCAGTTCTAGTTCAGTTCTAGTCTAGTTCAGTTCTAGTTCAGTTCTAGTTCAGTTCTAGTTCAGTTCTAGTTCAGTTCTAGTTCAGTTCTAGTTCAGTTCTAGTTCAGTTCTAGTTCAGTTCTAGTTCAGTTCTAGTTCAGTTCTAGTTCAGTTCTAGTTCAGTTCTAGTTCAGTTCTAGTTCAGTTCTAGTTCAGTTCTAGTCAGTTCTAGTTCAGTTCTAGTTCAGTTCTAGTTTCAGTTCTAGTTCAGTTCTAGTTCAGTTCTAGTTCAGTTCTAGTTCAGTTCTAGTTCAGTTCTAGTTCAGTTCTAGTTCAGTTCTAGTTCAGTTCTAGTTCAGTTCTAGTTCAGTTCTAGTTCAGTTCTAGTTCAGTTCTAGTCAGTTCAGTTCTAGTTCAGTTCTAGTTCAGTTCTAGTTCAGTTCTAGTTCAGTTCTAGTTCAGTTCTAGTTCAGTTCTAGTTCAGTTCTAGTTCAGTTCTAGTTCAGTTCTAGTTCAGTTCTAGTTCAGTTCTAGTTCAGTTCTAGTTCAGTTCTAGTTCAGTTCTAGTTCAGTTCTAGTTCAGTTCTAGTTCAGTTCTAGTTCAGTTCTAGTTCAGTTCTAGTTCAGTTCTAGTTCAGTTCTAGTTCAGTTCTAGTTCAGTTCTAGTTCAGTTCTAGTTCAGTTCTAGTTCAGTTCTAGTTCAGTTCTAGTTCAGTTCTAGTTCAGTTCTAGTTCAGTTCTAGTTCAGTTCTAGTTCAGTTCTAGTTCAGTTCTAGTTCAGTTCTAGTTCAGTTCTAGTTCAGTTCTAGTTCAGTTCTAGTTCAGTTCTAGTTCAGTTCTAGTTCAGTTCTAGTTCAGTTCTAGTTCAGTTCTAGTTCAGTTCTAGTTCAGTTCTAGTTCAGTTCTAGTTCAGTTCTAGTTCAGTTCTAGTTCAGTTCTAGTTCAGTTCTAGTTCAGTTCTAGTTCAGTTCAATTTAACAGTTAGATTTATCTGAATACCCATCCGTTGTGGATTAACTTTATTCTGAAAATTCCCTTTTTATTAATTTTAAAAAGTTCTCAAAACATTTCAAGCTTTCAATAATATAAAAAAATGTCAATAAACCTAGAAAAAGACAAACTTTTTGCAAAAAAGCGCCAGAAAAAATGTACACAACGGTATTGTAATATAAAACAATACCCAAATGATTTTAAATAATTTATAAACAAAAGTGAAACAAACAAACATACATATGTATGTATTCATCAGCTGCATACATATGTATGTATGTAGTTGTAGTAACCAAAAAATTTAAAAGACAAAAGAACAAAACATAAAACGTGGTATAACTGAAACCAACATTGTTTTAAATTGTATGTATTTTAACGCCTGAATTGTTATGAATTTTTATAAATGCAATTTCATGACCATTGTATAACGTTCGACCCAAATACATAATACAAATATAGAAATATATATATATATACAAACATTTAAAGGACGAGGAGTATGTTATAAATGTTTTTAAATGTTTTAAAACAAAAATACCACAGACAATTATAGGCAGACTCATATACAAGTTCACAAATCCGTCTGTCCGCCCGTCCTTCCATCCGTCGGTTTGTTTATGCAGCTGTTTGATTACAAGAGGAGTTATTGACGACAAGAAAAACAAAGTAATTTGCTAAAAAATAAAAGTATGTAAATTATTCCATTGTTTGTTTGAGTGTTTTTTTAGACTTTAACAATGAATTTAAACTGTAAAAATAACTTTGGTATAATAAATTCAAATAATTTAATTTTATTTATTTGTGTGTGTGTGTGGCACCCACAATAATTATCAGCCACAATGTTGCAACATAATAATTTAAATTGAAATGAGCAACAAACAGCAAGAAAAAGAGTAAAATAATAACAACAACAACAAAATATTTAATTTTACAACATCATCACTTTTTTTGTGTGTTAAAACAATGTATGAATTTATGGCCTATGAAGGGACAAAAATAAAATGGATGTTTTATGCACACGCATTCTTAAACATGATCAGATACATACATATGTATCTGGTACAGTGGGATCAATGATAATGTAGTAAAATATAATAAGTTATGGCTGTTGAATAAACTCTAATGAAATTATTTTGATTGAGATTATTTCCACAAAAAATATGTCCTTATATTTATCTTAGGCTTACTAGCTCTTTTTGTTCAGTCATTATCATCCTTTCAATAGACAGACAGACGGATATTGCTGTATAAACAATTGAATTAAATTATTATGCATTTGTGCTGATGTTTGTAACACCCAAAAATATGAAGTATACCAATCGGCTTAGAATCACTTTCTGAGTAGATTTAGATATGTCCGCCCGTCCGTCTGTATATCTGTCTGTCTGTCTTCCCCCCGCGGGCATGTTTCCTTGATGAAATCTCCATCTTGGTGTATTGCAATCCCGGGGTAAAGAGGTGCTACCAATAGTCTGCCGGGACTATAAACTGGTGATGATCAAATGTATCATCGGCCATTCCTTCGAATGATTTGACATGGGGTCTAATCTGGCACTACGGGTAGGGGGTTTCCCACAGGAATTGGGGAATTGGTTAGTATTCAATAGTTACCTGTCATCCCGTAGAGCGATCTTTATGATCATGGGAATGGAACTGATGCGAAAATTGGTGAAAGATCGCGAAAGTCTCCATATATTGGAGATTAGTACTGATTTAGTATGCCTTTTTACGCTTCGGGGAAGTTCTTCGGTGCTGTTGCCATCTCAACAGGTTATATTGTTATATGCTACGCGACTAATTGTCGGCACAATTATTGGAATAAATTGACTTTAGAAATTCCTATTTCCTTTGTCACATTGATCGGGATCCTGATCCATTTTGTTGGGTATTTCGGACTACCAAATATGTCTCTAGATGCTGTTGCCAAAACAACAGAGCCATGTCAGTAGTGTGGTTGCGCTGGCTTAAAGAGGTTAGGGAATGCACTGGAATGGGTCATTAGATGATAGGGATTGCATTTTAAATAATGAAATCTTTCATGACATCATAAAGGTGGTCACCTCCCGGTTTTTATTTCAAGCTGATGATTCGATTTCACCTGATTCTGGGACTTGTCACCCCCTTCTATTGACTTTAGACCAGTGTACAAAAATTGCCACCTGAGTTGTTCATAGAAGGATTCAGGGGCGTCTACAGAGTGGATGAAAAAGACCACCGTGAAATTAGGCCATCATGGCAGGTGTTCACGTTAAACTCTCGACATTTGTGTCTGTCTGTCCATGTAAAGCTTGTGCGCTAGCTACAGATCACAATTTTAAAGATAATTTGATGAAATTTGGCACGACGAACGCAATTGAAATTGGTTGAAATCGGTCCAATATTTTGCCTAGCGCCCATATAACCGTACCCCCCGAATAGGGCTTTTGGGCTCATAATTTTGCTAAATGTTCTACTATGTCAACAAAAATCGGCAAAAATTAGTTTATTGAAGTCTAAATGACACTGATTGTTTTTGTAACGATCGGGCGTCATTTGACCCTAGCCCCCATACAAATTCCCCTTCAGAAAATGACTTGAAGGTCAAAATTCACTTAAAAATACTAATAACACGATTAAGTTCTACATAAATAATTTTGATATAGACATAAATTCCTCTACAAAAATTTATAAGGATAGGCCCATATTTATCCTTACCCCATATGAGCCCTTTTGTAGAAAATCTCTTTTTTTGTCAAGAATAAGTACAAATATATCGGAATAAAGGTAAAAAATAAATTAAATGCTTTATTATTTAAAAACAAGTTAGAGTGCTATATTCGGCTGAGCCGAATCTTAAATACCCTCCACCAGATACTTTTATATTAATACTTTTCTAATTGATCAAATATTTGTAGAACTAAGTTAAGTCATGTCTTAAATAGAAAAATCTCAAGATTTAAACAGTTTACATATATTACAATTCCAAGATTTATTGAACATTACAAACGCCATTTTCTTTCTATTTTTATAGCGCTTAGCGATATTTAGTAATTTGCATGTGTGTGAAAGATTTAAGGATTTTCAAAATACATATACATAATTTTGTTCTACACAAATTGATAATGTAACTAGTTAAATACGGTTAAAGCGCTTTTAGGGGCAGGACCTAGTATGGAAGGTATGACCAATTATAGACTGATCGTAAAAAATTCTTTAAGCTAAATTTCTGTACATAAAAGCTATATTTCAGTAAAATTTTGTATCTATATCGTAATTCAGTAATAAGTAATGTGTGTTTAAGTGATTTTCTGAAGGGAACCTTGTATGGGACCGACCGTACCAATGTTATGAACCGATCATGAAAAAATCTTGAAATAGAATTTTTGTATACAAAACTAATATTTGTGCCAAATTTTGTATCAATAGCTTGACTTGGTAATGAGTAATGTACGTTAACAGATTTTCGTAAAAGGACCTTGTATGGGAGCTAAGACCAATTATGTATATAAATAAGAGGAATATTTGTGCTAAATGTATGGATATCAATATTTGGTAATGAGTTATGTGCGTTTAAGTGATTTTCAGGAGGGAACCTTGTATGGGAGCTATGACCAAGTATGGACCGATCGTGAAAAAATTTTGAAATAACATTTCTGTGTACAAAAATAGTATTTAAGCCAAATATTTTATGGGTATCACTATTTGTAATGAGTTATGTGCCTTTAAGTGTTTTTCTGAAAGTGACCTTGTATGGGAGCTATCATCAATTATGGACCGATAGGAAACCAATTTCACAATAATATTTCTCTGTATATGAGCAATACTTGTGCCAAATTTTATATGGATTTCTTAATTTAGTAATGAGTTATGCGCGTTAAAGTGGTTTTCGGGAGGGGATCTTGTATGGGAGCTATGACCAATTATGGACCGATCCAAAAAAATTTTATAGTAATATTTCTGTATATGTGAGCAACACTTGTACCAAATTTTATATGGATATCTTAATTTAGTAATGAGTTATGTGCGTTTAAGTGATTTTGGGGAGGGGACCTTATATGGGAGCTATGACCAATTGTAGACCGATCCAAAAAAAACTTTCATAGTAATATTTCTGTATATGTAAGCAATACTTGTACAAAATTTTATATGTATATCTTAAATTAGTAATGAGTTAAATGCGTTTAAGTGATTTTGGGGAGGGGACCTTGTATGGGAGCTATGACCAATTATGGACCGATCCAAAAAAAAAACGTTCACAGTAATATTTCTATGCACTTGGGCAATACTTGTACCAAATTTTATATGGATATCTGAATTTAGTAATGAGTTATGCGCGTTTAAGTGATTTTGGGGAGGGGACCTTGTATGGGAGCTATGTCCAATTATGGACCGATCGGGAAAAAATTTTACAGTAATATTTGTATGCATATGAGTAATACTTGTACCAAACTTTATATGGGTATCTTTATTTAGTAATGAGTTATGCGTGTTTAAGTGATTTTCGGGAGGGGACCTTGTATGGGAGCTATGTCCAATTATGGACCGATCCAGAACATTTTCTCGCTTAATGAATTCTATTGACATAGGATTTTAATTTGTAAAATTTTGTGAAGATATCGACATTGTGGCGGAAGTTATTAACAAAAAACCCATTTTCCGGGAATATGTACTTTTGTATGGAAGGTATATGAAATTGTAGACCGATTCAGGAAGTTTTCAGTAGGGATCAAGCTCTTATATTGAAACGGACGTGTGGTGATTTTCATGGAATTATCTTGCATAGTTTTCGAGAAAATTGCATCAGAATGTGTAAAAAATTTTTATTTTTTTCGAGGTTGTTTTAAATTTTGATTCATAACTTTTCCCGGTGTGAACAGATTTTGCCCATTTGCAATACCAAACAACTTAGGAAAATGAAGAACATTTTGGGTGAATTTGGTTAAACTCTATTGCTTCGTTTTATCGTGAGCGTGTTTTACACAGACAGACGGACGGACAGACGGACATAGCTAAATCGACTCAGAATTTGATAAGGACCCAGATATATACTTTGTTGGGTCTCAGATGAATATTTCTTGGTGTTACACACGGAATGGCAAAGTTATATATACCTTCTATCACCACTGGTGGTGGTGGAGGGTATAAAAATAATCCACATTTTAAACATATTCACTAGTGTCGGGTAATATATGGTCGGTTATGCCCGACTATGGGCATATGGAACTACTTTGCTTAATTTTTCGTCTAAACTAATCTTAAAATTTCCTAATGTGTTAATTATTTCATTACCAGACTACTGTACGAATACTTATGATATACGAGAAAACTTTTTGCTGTATAAATCTTCTACCCATTACTAGATACATATATACAATAGATACATACATTCATGGATACAGATACAAGCTTAAGTTTAACTTACAATTTTTCAACAAAAATGGCAAGCCAGCAGCTAAAAGACAGACAGACAGACAGAAAACATAATAAAACTATAGTAATTGGCAGTTGCTGGAAAATGTGTATATACATATTTTCAAGAAACTGGATGTTGTAAGTGCGTGTGATTTATGTTTAAATTATTAATTTAAATATAGCAATAAGTCAATATATTTTTATTACAACGATTTTAAAAAAAAAATTATTATTGCTATTATGTTTAATAAATTTATGTTGTATTTTTTTTTATTCTTTTTAAGGTTACTGCCACCGATGGCGATGTAGATAGACCCATAAATATTGTATATTTTCTCACCGGTCAGGGTATAGATCCTGACAATACAGCTAATAGTAAATTTGATATAAATCGTACAACGGGTGATATTTTTGTTTTAAAGGTAAGTTGCTTAAAAAAATTATTAAGAATATTTAAACCCCAGAGTTATATTTGTAATTTAAAGTCTGTAAATGAATTTCGTTAAAAAAAGTATAAAACTACTTTTTTGGTTAAGGATTTCAGTCATATATTTCATTTTTTTCTCCATTTTTAATAACTCTATGAAATGTCATACTCATTTTAGTTTCAGTATCTCTTTGCTAATTATGTTTAACTCAATTTATTCTTTGTAGTTTTATTATTTAATTTTCTTTTTCCGGTTTTTATTACACTAAACCAACTAAATAACATTGGTCTTGTACTAACGGTCATATTAGTAGTCTTTATTAAATGCCAACAAAATAACTACAAAATTAAATTAAAACTTTTTTCCTTCTTCTGTATTTGTATCCTGCATGAGCATAAGGGTACTGCAAGGAAATTAATTAAAAAAAAAACAAGTTAGAGTGCTATATTCGGCTGAGCCGAATCTTAAATACACTCCACCAGCAACTTTTGTATTAATACATTTCTAATTAATAAAATATTTGTAGAAATAAGTTTTCTCATGTCTTAAATAGAAAAATCCCAAGATTTAAACAGCTTAAATCTACAACAATTCCAAGATTTATTGAACATTAAGATATGCTTTAGCGATATCTCGTATTTGCATGTATGCATGTGTGTGAAAGATTTAAGGATTTTAAAAATACATACATATGTATATATAATTTTGTTCTACACAAATTGATAATGCAAATAGTTAAATATGGTTAAAGCGCTTTTAGGGGTAGGACCTAGTATGAGAGATATTACCAAATATAGACCGATCGTGAAAAATTTTTGAAATAGCATTAAGTGCTTTTTGCATTACAAAATAGTATTTATGAACAAAAATAGTATTTATTTATATCATTATTTGGTAATGAGTTATGTGCCTTTAAGTGTTTTTCTGAAAGGGACCTTGTATGGGAGCTATGATCAATTATGGATCGATAGGAAAACAATTTCACAGTAATATTTCTCTGTATATGAGCAATATTTTTGCCAAACTTTATATGGATATCTTAATTTATTAATGAGTTATGTGCGTTTAAGTGATTTTCGGGAGGGGACCTTGTATGGGAGCTATGACCAGTTATGGACCGATCGGAAAAAAAATTATCTGTAATATTTCTGTGCATATGAGTAATATTTGTACCATATGGGTATCTTAATTAAGTAATGAGTTATGAGCGTTTAAGTGATTTTCGGGAGGGGACCTTGTATGGGAGCTATGACCAATTATGGACCGATCGAAAAAAATTTTCACAGTAATATTTCTGTGCATATGAGTACTACTTTGCCAAATTTTATATTGATATCTTAATTTAGTAATGAGTTATGCGCGTTTAAGTGATTTTCGGGAGGGGACCTTGTATGGGAGCTATGACCAATTATGGACCGATCGGAAAAAAATTTCACAGTAATATTTCTGTGCATATGAGTAATACTTGTACCAAACCTTATATGGATATCTTAATTTAGTAATGTGTTATGCGCGTTTAAGTGATTTTCGGGAGGGGACCTTGTATGGGAGCTATGTCCAATTATGGACCGATCCATAAAATTTTTCCTCTGAAAGAATTCTATTGACATAAGATTTTAATTTGTAAAATTTTGTGAAGATATCGACATTGTGGCGGAAGTTATTAACAAAAAACCCATTTTCCGGGAATATGTACTTTTGTATGGGAGGTATATGAAATTGTGGACCGATTCTAGCAATTTTCAGCAGGGATCAAGATCTTGTGCAGAAACGAATGTATGGTGATTTCAATGGAATTATCTTGCATAGTTTTCGAGAAAATTACATCAGAATGTGTAAAAATGCTTATTTTTTCAGAGGTTGTTTTAAATTTTGATTCATAACTTTTCGCGGTGTGAACCGATTTTGCCCATTTGCAATACCAAACAACTTAGGAAAATGAGGAACATTTTGGGTGAATTTGGTTAAGCTCTATTGCTTCGTTTTATCGTGAGCGTGTTTTACACAGACAGACGGACAGACGGACATAGCTAAATCGACTCAGAATTTGATAAGGACCCAGAATATATATACTTTGTTGGGTCTCAGATGAATATTTCTTGGTGTTACACACGGAATGACAAAGTTATATATACCCTCTATCACCACTGATGGTGGTGGAGGGTATAAAAACTTTGACATTTCATTAAATATTATATGCAAAATTAGAAGACCACTTTTTCTCCAATTAGTTAAAATTTAAATTAAAATTATGTTAAAGTATTTAAAATTAAAATAATAATTTAATATCAAGATTTTCTACCACAGAGGGACGGACATTATCCTTCCTACTCAAAAATTCACATTGAATGAACATTTTTAACAATTACAATATTTGCATTACCCTTTTGCTCATCTATAGTTTTACATATTTTTTTTCACAAACTAAAAGCTTTTTAGTACTTAACAAAAATATTTAATACTCTTTTCACCACAAATATATATAAAGATTATGTAAAACATAGACGAAAATCCTGTTAACATGAAAAAGTTTTTTTTTTTACAAAACAACACAACAAAAAATAGTAAAACAACAACATGAAAATGAACTTAAAAATCAAGAGTCTGGTTAAAATTATAAGTATGTTTAGCAAATATATGTATGTACATAAATACATATGTTATATGTGCTAATGTTAGCAAATGATTTCAAAACAAAGTTTTATTTTTTTGGTTTTCTGTAGTACATTTGATTACACAGAATTAAACTTAAAAAACACATATTAAACATTAATAAAAGTATGAGAATTGTATTAATGTAATAATCATTTTAATAGAAATTTTATGATGGAATTGGGGATTATAATATCTTATGTTCATGGTTTTACTACTTCCCATATAATACTTTTGTTAGAAATTTAACTGATTTATTATTATCAGCATACAGAAATTGTCGTCTCTAGATTCTTTTCTTAGGTCTTACATTATTTTCAAGATGAAGTAATAAATCTCGAAAATCTAAGAATTTTAAGAGACCGAATGAACACTTGGTTGTTAAAAAAATAATATTTAATACTGTTTTTGAATAATCTACAAAATACACATGAAAATTAGTAGAAATAAATTGGAAAGATTACGAATCTTTTTATTTGAGTGATTCTTAACATTTTTTGAGATATCTTTATCAGAACCTTAAGTAAATTTCCCCGATAGTTCTCGACAAAGTCTAAAACAATGTTTGATAGTTTTTGTTAGAATCTGTGAGGACATTGGAGGTAAGCACGCACGATTACAAATAACTACTTAAATAAGTACTTACAAATAGGGAGTTTGAAAGTTGTTTCGCTTTACGCATACAAAAATTGCTTACACAGAAAACGTACCCGGTCTTTTTGTTCGTTAGTTTGCTGTCATACTCACAACACCATTGCTCAGTTATTTTATTGTGCATTTAATAATGGGTTTCACAGAGAAAAACTATATTCTCTCTGTGTGTATAAAAAACCAGCTGCTAGGTCGCGATCGAAAACACCGTTTTCTTTTATATTTCTAAAGCGCCTTAAAATATACTTTAGCGATAATTAATAATTTGTATGTGTGTGAAATGTTTAAGAAAATACAAATATATTCTTATGCACAAAGTGTTTATACTAAACTAATTTTACTAAAGATAACACAGATAAGTGACCTAGTATGGGAGATCTGATCAATTGTAGACCGATCGTAGACAAATTTTCCAGCTACATTTCTGTATAAAAAGCAATCTAAATCTAAATAAATTTTAAAATACAAATTTTAAATTACAAAAGTAATATTTCTGCAAAATTTTTGTATGGATATCATTATTTGGTAATGAGTTATATGCATTTAAATGTTTTTCTGAAGGGGACCTAGTATGGGAGCTACGACAGTAACATTTCTGTATGTAAAAGAAATATTTGTGCCAAATCTTGTATGGATATCTTAATCTTAGGAAAATGAAGAACATTTTGGATGAATTTGGTTAAATTCTATAGCTTCGTTTTAACGTGAGCGTATTTTACACAGACAGACGGACATAGCTAGATCGACTCAGAATTTGATAAGGACCCAGACTATATATGAATGAATATTTCTTTGTGTTACACACGGAATGACAAAGTTATATATACCCTCCATCATCACTGATGGTGGTGGTGGATATAATAATTACGTATCTTTTATGTCTTTATAAGAGTATTTAAAAGTAATGCAGACGGTACGTAGTAGTCATTGAAAAATAAGTACTTAGTTATATACATACAAGCCATTATCTAATTTATTTCTGGAATCTTATAAAAGTTGTTGAACCAATCCTCTTCATCGTATAAGTAAGAAGTTTTACGAATTTCTGTTAAAGACCAAGGGACTCAATGACTTTCTCCGTGAATAACCGAACATTTTTGAAACGCTGTAACTTGTAACAATATAGCTCAGTCTGTATTTTTGTAGGATAATTTAGTAAGACCCCTTTCCATGAAAGGTAGAAATATAATATTTGTAATATTCTTCAGCTTGTCGCACATTTCGATTCACGTTCGACTGTATAGAAAATTCCCGAGAATGAACCAGTAACACTTACTGAATAATCACTGTAGCATGAAGAGGTGAGGGAGTTATTGTCCAATCCGGTTGTATGGGGTCGTGATAAAGTAATGAACAGATTTCAATGATTTTCTATATACTTCATCCTTCTTGTCACAGATTAGATGTGATATTCCAGGTTTTATCAAATTCTCTTTAAAACTACAATTGAATTTTAAGTTTTGTATGAATGAACAGACTGACAGACAGACGGACGAACATCAGAGAAATCGACTTAACCCCTCATTTTATAAAACGATACGAAAAACGTTCAAAAAATTTTTATGAAAAAAAATTCAAATTCAAAAAAATTCATACATATTTTTTACGTTAACGGAAGTTTCGTTGAGGGGGTTAAATATGGGTGAACCAATATTTATACAAGTGTTGTAGGGTATAAACAGAATTATTTCGGGAATATTAAATTATCTGATAATGCTACCAATAAACGGGGAATTACTTGGCGTCTGAATGAATGCCACGAGGATCTTTAATACGCTAATGACATATATAGTTCTGCTCTCACACTCGCATCGACACATGCAATCAAAACTAAACGACTTACATCAACAATCATTAAAGGTTGGTTCAGAATATTAACATTAACAAAACTGAATCACTGCGAATATAATCATCCGACGTCTCATCTTTACTATTAAAGGACAAAACATAGCAGACCAATCCAACCAGCGGGGGAGCTAAACAGGACATGCTAAGTCTCATACAGAAAGCCCGCACGGCTTTTGCCAAACTGCGAAGGGTATGGCGCGCAAATAATAACAGCACTACAACTAAATGCTGAATTTTCAAAGCATGCTTGAAGTCAGTGCTTCTCTACGGCTCAGATACATAGTTAGTTATAGAAGAAATGAAGGCAAAACTTCATAGTTTTATAAACCACTGTCTTAGAAATATTTCCCGAATATGGTGGCCCAGAAGAATATTGAACGAAGAACTATGGACAATTACCCAACAGCAGAGCATAAATGCCGAAATAATTAAAAGAAAATATTGTTGGATTGGACACACTCTGCGAAAACCCTATGATCTTCCTCCACATGCTGCTCTGGCCTGGAATCCGCAAGATATGCGGCGACGAGGTAGACCGCTAACAACATGACTGTTTTCACCGAGACTGGTAAATCGTTTAGCGAACTAAGACAACTGGCACGAAACAGTAAAAACTGGAAATCTTTTGTGGAAACCTTAAGCTGCAAATATGGAGTATGGATGGCACAGCGCATACATATAATATTAATTATTAAGTAGAAATCTAAGCAAAATTATTAACACTATATTCCTGGGAATGTGAAAATATGTATTTAGTCCTATACCTACCTTAAAGTATACCAATCAGCTTAGAATCGTTTTCTGAGAAGACTAAGCAATGTCCTTCCTAACCATCTTTCGATGTCAGCCTTGTAATTAAACTGCATTTCGAAATTTTGAAGATAATGCGATGAGGGTATATTGGGTTTGTTCCGATGTTTGTAATGAACAAAAATAATGGTTGGCCTAGTATCATTTTCTGAGTGGACTTATTCTGAAGCTAATACGAAGAAGCCTATTGGTTGAAATCTGCCCATTATTTCACCTAGCCCCCATACATCCTAAGTGATCAAAAGCTCCATACATTCTAAATGATCATTCGGATGATCGGACCTTTTTTGTCAAAAATAATGGTAGGCTTAGTATCATTTTCTGAGTCGACTAATTCTATTTGTACTGTTCGTGTTTAAAATACTAATATATAAATTACAAAAAAAAAATCATTTGAAAAAATTATAATTTCAATTATAATTTTAATTATCTCATAGACATTAACAAAGAATAATGACATTAACATAAGCTTCTTAAATTGACAATTATAATTAAATTGTAAAATATACAAATGTAGACATTAAAAAATTAAATAAATAAACACAAACATCGATATTTGGTTTTTTATAAACATTAAAAAAAATTAATCTTTTTAAAGTAAATCATTAATTAAAAATATAAAAAATTGTGTTTTTTCTTTCCTTTTCCTACAGCCCCTTGATCGCGATCAACCGAATGGCCGACCACAATGGCGCTTCACAGTCTTTGCCCAGGATGAGGGCGGCGAAGGACTCGTCGGCTATGCCGATATACAAGTTAATCTCAAAGATATCAACGACAATACACCACAATTTCCTCAGGGCGTTTATTATGGTAACGTAACGGAAAATGGCACTTCCGGTTTGGCAGTGATGACCATGTCAGCCGTAGACTATGATGATCCCAATGAGGGTACACATGCCAAACTAATATATTCGATAGAGAAAAATGTCATCGAAGAAGAGACGGGAGCACCCATATTCGAAATAGAACCCGATACGGGTGTTATTAAGACAGCGGTCTGTTGTCTGGATCGTGAGCGTACACCCGACTACTCCATACAAGTAGTGGCCATGGATGGTGGTGGTCTTAAGGGTACTGGCACGGCTTCTATAAGAGTAAAAGATTTAAACGATATGCCACCCATGTTTACCAAAGACGAATGGTTTACGGAGGTGGATGAAACAAATGGCACTTATATACCGGAAACACCCATACTAACGGTGACAGTGCAGGATGAGGATGAAACAAATTCATTTCAATATAAAGTAGTGCCCAACAGTGGTTTGGGTTCCGATAAATTTGCAATGGTACGTAATACTGATGGTACTGGTTCCTTGAAAATAATACAGCCGTTGGACTATGAAGATCCCATGCAGAGCAGTGGTTTTCGTTTTCGCATACAGGTCAACGATATGGGCAATAATGATAGTGATAAATATCATTTAGCCTATTCATGGGTGGTGGTTAAGCTGCGTGATATCAATGATAACTCACCGCATTTCGAAAGGGAACGCATCGAATTGTCGGTGTATGAAGATACAAAAGTTGGCACCATACTGGAACAATTCAAAGCTACCGATGCCGATCAGGGTGGCAAGAGTAAGGTCAGCTATAAACTGGTAAGAGCTAGTAATCGTAAACGTCAATTTGCTATTAGCGATAAGGGAGCAATAAGCATACAAAGATCTTTAGATCGTGAGACCAACGAACGACATCAATTAGAAATATTGGCGGTGGATGATGGTGTAGTACCGCGTACAGCCACCGCGGTTCTCACGGTCATCGTTAAAGATGTCAATGATAATGCTCCCGTATTTAAGGAGGATTATCGTCCTGTTTTACCTGAAAATGTTAGCCCGCGTAAATTTATAGAAGTGACAGCCAAAGATGCCGATGATAGAGCTCGAGGGAATGGAGGACCTTTCACATTTCGTATGGATCCTATGGCCAGTGATGTGATAAGATCGAGTTTTAAGCTCGAATATGATAGAAGTGAGTAATATGCATATGTACTTTAAAAATGTCAATATCAAAATAACTTTAATATTTGTGCTAATTGTGGTTAATGATTATAAAATTATATTATTCATTTAAAATTAGATTTCTAAACATTTGATCTGTTTAGCCACTGAAAACAAAGTGACTTTTAGGCAAATTGTAATAATTGTACTAATTTCATTTATATTTGCCATAAACACACACAAACAAACAACAATTTGATTAAATTTAATTCAATTAAAACTGTCTACTATTGCCAAACAATTAAACCAGTCAAAGCACTGCTATAAGCCTAAAAGTATGCATTAGTTTGTGTTATTTTTACGTTTTGTACATGTTTAATTTTGTTTAAACTGGTTTATTCATGTTTAAATTTATAATCTCAGCCATCAATCATTTGTTTAACATTTTCATTAAAAATTTGCATTTCTTTATATTTTATTTATGATATTTTTTTCTTTATCATTCTGTTGCTGCTGTCTGTTTGTTTGTTTGTTTTTTTGTCTGTCTGTCCGTCTATCAATTTCATAAATATTATTTTATAAATGCAATTAGTGTCGTTATAATTGTTAATTAAAATCAATCAATGGCAATGGCGATATGAAAAAGAAACGAAGACATTTCATTAAAGAAATATAAAATACAGACATATGTGGATTTATTTTTCAATATCAGATAATTGTTAAACAATAAAGATTTTCATTATATTTCAATCACAGTCATTAGTTCGACATATTTATGGGGTTGTTAATTGTTCTTTTTTTTTTTGTAGCAGGGGAATTGTGAATTTTAAAGAAGACAAAAGTTATAATCAGAAGTTAAATTCAGTACCAGTGATTTGCAAAGGGTGGCCCTAAATAGGAAGTATACGGCGAGTACATTGAATGATCACAATATCGTATATATATCTTATAGAGGGTATTATACGTTTGTGCTGATGTTTGTAAAGCACAAAAATATTGCTCCAATCGGCATAGAATAATAATTTTCTGAGTCGATTAAGCCATGCCCTTCCGTTCATGAAAACCTTGTAATCAACGCATAATTTTGAAGGAATTTCGTATTCGTAACATGAAACTTGTTAATTTTGGTTTAAATAGGTCTATTATAACACCTAGTTTCAATACAAGGTGACCTCCGTTATATAGCTTTGGAGATTATAATTATGTTAAACATCTTAACTAAAACTGACTCTGCTAGACTCAGAAACACTACAGATTTCCATAATGACGAGACCAGAACTGAACATATGTCCTGTATGTCTAGAAGGAACTATAGGCTACCATTCACTACAAAATGTCAAATGGGCGTGGCACCACGCCCACATGCAAAATAAATTATTAAAAGTCACATATCTCAGAAACTGCAACGGCAGGAATAATCAACTTTTGTATGGACAACTTTGACATTAATATAAAGATATAGGCAAATGAGCAAGAGTGGGCGTCTTCCATATAAAAAAAGTCTTATATAAGTACATCTGAAAAATATAACAGCTCTTTTGGTATCAACATGAATATTTAGAACAAAAACTGGGCGTTTTAGCAAAAGAGGGCGTGGCATCTTCCATATGGATTAAATACTAAAATTCGTTTATTTGGGAAACTATTACAGCTAGAATCTTCAACTTTTATACGAAAAACTCTAACATTCATGTCAACATTTGGGGGGTAAAGACGGTCTTTCCTTAGAGAGACTTTAGAACCAGTTTAATACAAAAACTCGTATATGTGTGAAATTATTGGAGCTAAAATCCTCAAATTATGCACGAATAACTTTGAATTTAATGTCAATATTTGGGTAATATATTTACGGAATAGAAATATGGGCGTGGCATTTCTTATATGAATTAAATACAACAAATGTTTGCAGCACCCTAAAATATTCATCCTATACCTTAAAGTATACCAATCGTCCGTCCGTCTGTGTATCCATGTAAACCTTGTTTTAAATATTTTTTAAACTCTCGTCTGAATTGTCTTCTTGCTTAGTTCATACTTGCGAAACATGCTCCATTGGTTGGAGCCAGCATTTGAAATGTTCAGTTTTTCATTGCAATTCTTCTGAATTTGGTGAGAAGTCCGTTGTTATTTTTGAATTTTTTACTATTACACATTTTCAAAAATAGCCCAAAAATAATGTAAAATTTGCTTGTAATTTAAAAACTTAATTTTATACAAAAAATACTAAAGAAAAACTTTTTTCTAAAACTTTTATATCTCTTCCACTCTTTTGCTTACCAAAAGAAATATATCCCTTTAAAATTCATTAAAAATATTTCACTTTAATTTCCAATTAATATTGAGGCTTTTAAAATTCTTAACAATTCCCGCTAAAAGTAATTATTTCTAATAATGTAACAAGTGTTTGATGGTTAAAAATGTTTAGAAAATATTTTAAAGTTCCACCTTAACAACCAATAGGCTGCCTACCAGACTTTGTAAGTAATTAATTTAAATGTTGGTTAAGTTTGTTTTACAATAATTATTTGTAGCTCTTTTTATAAGTAAGTAGTAGCCTTGCCAAGTGGTTGTTACGGAAATGTCAATGGCTACATTACATATTTTAACACTTTGCTGTTATTGTTGTTTTGTTAATATTCTAGTTCCTAAACGGAAATTTCCACTCAACTCATAGGTTTGTTTATTTCCTGTTGCCATTAAAGGCTACTTTAAAGTAAAGTATTTTCAAATACAAACTTACTTTGCTTTGTTTTTGGATCTTGTGTTTTAAATTTTCTTTAATTATTTTAACATTATGAAAAATAATTGTTTAAACTAACTTTACTTAGGGTAATTAATGGCAACAGGTTAAGCAGAGACAAGAACAGCAGAAAAGTTGCCAACTTCTTGCAAATTGTATTTTTTTTTTTTTTCAAACTTTCTTTTGGCAGAATGTTAAGCTTAAGCCTTGAGTGTCTGTTGGCTGTTATTTAAGTTAAGAAGTTTTAAATGCACGAAAGAATGTTTATTGTCAACGTTTATACAAAGTGTTGAAAATTGCGTCTTGATTTAATTTCAATAGCTGGTGATATACTATAACTTTGAACTTATTTTTGTATAATTTTTTTTCAAATAAGTTTAAAATATTTACAAAATAATTTATATTGCTGTGAATTTAAATTTAAGATATCTTTATACTTTGTAATACATGTTAAACTGGATAATAGAGCTATATCTTCTTCTATGAACAAAACTACTTTAAGTACTTTCTCTTATGCAACAAAAGCAAAAGAAACTCGATTCCACATTATCTAAATCGAAACAACAAGCATCCAGTACAGAGGATTTATCACCAACTCACAAAACAACCAGCCTGTAACTGTACTTAAAACACTACTGTTCACATCATACGGCATAGGTATAGCTGAGTGCTGAGTACTACAATAGTATTGCAAATAACAGAAATACCGTCGGGCTATAATTTTTTCACATTTTTGCAAATATCAAAATAGCCCTAGCAAAGCCGAATAGAAAACTTTAAATTACATAGAAAAGTAGTTTCTATTTAGGTTCTGTTAAAAAGAGTACATTTTCTCATGCTCATATCTCGCGAATCGTTCGGAATTTTGAATTACTCTTCGAGGCAAAATTTTTGGCTCTTATCGTAAAGAACAAAAATTGTATTACATAAAGTGTTCAACATTTTTTTACTTCCTTTGGGAAGTTTTGCATTATGAAATTAAACTGTTTGTAGTAACGACAACGGTACGTATACGTGTTAATGATTTATTGATATTGCAAATATTAAGTATACGCCTACTTTAGAGAAGCACTTGAAGTAAAAAAAATTTTTGAAAGTGTTTTTTATTTAATTACGTAGTCACGTCCGAATATTTTTCAGTTAGCTAGTTAGTTAGTTAGTTAGTTAGTTAGTAGTTTTGTTTGTTTATTTGTTTGTTTGTTTGTTGTTAGAGTTAGTTAGTTAATAGTTAGTTAGTAGTTAGTTAGTTAATTAGTTAGTTAGTTAGTTGTTAGTAGTTAGTTAGTTAGTTGTTTTAGTAGTAGTTAGTTAGTAGTTCGTTAGTAGTTAGTTAGTTAGTTAGTTAGTTAGTTAGTAGTTAGTTAGTTAGTTAGTTAGTTAGTTAGTTAGTTAGTAGTTAGTTAGTTAGTTAGTTAGTAGTTAGTTAGTTAGTTAGTTAGTTAGTTAGTTAGTAGTTAGTAGTAGTTAGTTAGTTAGTTAGTTAGTTAGTTAGTTAGTTAGTTAGTTAGTAGTTAGTTAGTTAGTTAGTTAGTTAGTTAGTAGTTAGTTAGTTAGTTAGTTAGTAGTTAGTTAGTTAGTTAGTTAGTTAGTTAGTTAGTTAGTTAGTAGTTAGTTAGTTAGTTAGTTAGTTAGTAGTTAGTTAGTTAGTTAGTTAGTTAGTTAGTTAGTTAGTAGTTAGTTAGTAGTTAGTTAGTTAGTTAGTTAGTTAGTAGTTAGTTAGTTAGTTAGTTAGTTAGTTAGTTAGTTAGTTAGTTAGTTAGTTAGTTAGTTAGTTAGTTAGTTAGTTAGTTAGTTAGTTAGTTAGTAGTTAGTTAGTTAGTTAGTTAGTTAGTAGTTAGTTAGTTAGTAGTTAGTTAGTTAGTTAGTTAGTTAGTTAGTTAGTTAGTTAGTTAGTTAGTTAGTTAGTTAGTTAGTTAGTTAGTTAGTTAGTTAGTTAGTTAGTTAGTTAGTTAGTTAGTTAGTAGTTAGTTAGTTAGTTAGTTAGTTAGTTAGTTAGTTAGTTAGTTAGTTAGTTAGTTAGTTAGTTAGTTAGTTAGTTAGTAGTTAGTTAGTAGTTAGTTAGTTAGTTAGTTAGTTAGTTAGTTAGTTAGTTAGTAGTTAGTAGTTAGTTAGTTAGTTAGTTAGTTAGTTAGTTAGTTAGTTAGTTAGTTAGTTAGTTAGTTAGTTAGTTAGTTAGTTAGTTAGTTAGTTAGTAGTAGTTAGTTAGTTAGTTAGTTAGTTAGTTAGTTAGTTAGTAGTTAGTTAGTTAGTTAGTTAGTTAGTAGTTAGTTAGTTAGTTAGTTAGTTAGTAGTTAGTTAGTTAGTTAGTTAGTTAGTTAGTTAGTTAGTTAGTTAGTTAGTTAGTTAGTTAGTTAGTTAGTTAGTTAGTTAGTTAGTTAGTAGTTAGTTAGTTAGTTAGTTAGTTAGTTAGTTAGTTAGTTAGTTAGTTAGTTAGTTAGTAGTTAGTTAGTTAGTTAGTTAGTTAGTTAGTTAGTTAGTTAGTTAGTTAGTTAGTTAGTTAGTTAGTTAGTTAGTTAGTTAGTTAGTAGTTAGTTAGTTAGTAGTTAGTTAGTTAGTTAGTTAGTTAGTTAGTTAGTTAGTTAGTTAGTTAGTTAGTTAGTTAGTTAGTTAGTTAGTTAGTTAGTTAGTTAGTTAGTAGTTAGTTAGTTAGTAGTTAGTTAGTTAGTTAGTTAGTTAGTTAGTTAGTTAGTTAGTTAGTTAGTAGTTAGTTAGTTAGTTAGTTAGTTAGTTAGTTAGTTAGTTAGTTAGTTAGTTAGTTAGTTAGTAGTTAGTTAGTTAGTTAGTTAGTTAGTTAGTTAGTAGTTAGTTAGTTAGTTAGTTAGTTAGTTAGTTAGTTAGTTAGTTAGTTAGTTAGTAGTTAGTTAGTTAGTAGTTAGTTAGTTAGTTAGTTAGTAGTTAGTAGTTAGTTAGTTAGTTAGTTAGTTAGTTAGTTAGTTAGTTAGTTAGTTAGTTAGTTAGTTAGTTAGTTAGTTAGTTAGTAGTTAGTTAGTTAGTTAGTTTAGTTAGTTAGTTAGTTAGTTAGTTAGTTAGTTAGTTAGTTAGTTAGTTAGTTAGTTAGTTAGTTAGTTAGTTAGTTAGTTAGTAGTTAGTAGTTAGTTAGTAGTTAGTTAGTAGTTAGTTAGTTAGTTAGTTAGTAGTAGTTAGTTAGTTAGTAGTTAGTTAGTTAGTTAGTTAGTTAGTTAGTTAGTTAGTTAGTAGTTAGTAGTTAGTAGTAGTTAGTTAGTTAGTTAGTTAGTTAGTTAGTTAGTTAGTTAGTTAGTTAGTTAGTTAGTTAGTAGTAGTAGTTAGTTAGTTAGTAGTTAGTTAGTTAGTTAGTTAGTTAGTTAGTTAGTAGTTAGTAGTTAGTTAGTAGTTAGTTAGTTAGTTAGTTAGTTAGTTAGTAGTTAGTTAGTTAGTTAGTTAGTTAGTTAGTTAGTTAGTTAGTTAGTTAGTTAGTTAGTTAGTTAGTTAGTAGTTAGTTAGTTAGTTAGTTAGTTAGTTAGTTAGTTAGTTAGTTAGTTAGTTATTTAGTTAGTTAGTTAGTTAGTTAGTTAGTTAGTTAGTTAGTTAGTAGTTAGTTAGTTAGTTAGTTAGTTAGTTAGTTAGTTAGTTAGTTAGTTAGTTAGTTAGTTAGTTAGTTAGTTAGTTAGTTAGTTAGTTAGTTAGTTAGTTAGTTAGTTAGTTAGTTAGTTAGTTTACCACGATAGGTTCATATTTGATCCTCCCCACCATATAAGGTCCCTTTTAGAAAATGACTTTAACCGCAATGAAAATCTACATAAACTAGTTATCTATAAGCTAAAATCTCTCTACCAAATTTTATGAGGATAGGTTCATAATTAACCCTAACTAAGTTTAAGGTCCTTTCATAAATATTAGTTTAACGCTCATTAAAAGTTTCAAAATTCAAGTAGAACTATGAAATTTGACATAAAGAACTAAGATCTTCCAACTTTGATGAGAAATGACCATATATAGTCCTATTGCCCATATAAGGTCCCCCTTCAAGAAAATTACTTTAATAATCATTAGTTACTTAAAAATATGAAATAAAATTCGAATACTGCGATAAAATTCCAAACAAATACTTGTTGTATAAATGAGGACAGGTCCATAATATTCATATTCATAAATATCAAAGTTTATTTATATGGCAATGGTTTAATAGATTCGGCATTGCCGAATATAACAATCTTCCTTGTTCGTAAAGGGAATTTCATATCAGACATGTGCAATTTGTTTTATTTCTAATAAAATTACACTATATTGTATTATAAAAATCTAATTTAGCGGTTAAATTTGTGGTTACTAATTAAGGGAAAACTATTACAGCCATTGTTACAAATACTAATAAAATTCTTTCATAAATAAACATAAAGAAAATGACAAACACATTGATAACAAAACCTTATTGTCAACAAAAGTTGACAATTTTTAAATTTGCAAATTTGTTAAAAAAAAAAACACTATCAGTTATGCAAATTTCTACCAAATTTAGTTATCTTTATTTCCATTAAAATTCAATAAACAAAAATTTAGACAAAAAATAAAAAATATATTTAAAAGCCATAGAAAAACCAAACAATTTTAAAAGCAATCAAGCGAGAACATACAATTTTTTGTTTGCATAATTTCAAATTGTTAAATTAATGAAAATATTACAAATGTATTGTGTAAATGCATGTGTAATATTTATAGTTTTTTTATATTCCAATTTTTATATACATACATATGTACACATTTAAAAAAACAATTATTTAAATATTTATTTAATTGAAAACTTCAATAAACTTAATTGAAAGCATTGAAATTTTAATCATTAGCCTAGCAAAGTACAAATATTTATAGCATATTTTCAGGCTGTTAAACAAATAACATCACATAGCCTACATTTAGCTTGGTAATTTATTTTAAAATATAAATGCTTTTAATAAAAAAAAATAATAATCAAAAAACAGCTATAACTTAAAATTTATTAACATTTTTCCAATAAACTTTTGTTTTTTTTTCTCTTTTTCTTACTGATTCTCTTTTATCTTTATGACTGCGCTATTTGGTCGCAAATTATGCCAAAAAATTAACGTTGCTGCGGGAAAATCCTCTGCATATGTACAAAAAAAATCCACTTAAATACATTTGGCAATCGACAAAATTAACTTTTATTTAAATGAAAATTAAAATAAAACAAAAAATATACGCGCTCTTACCATAAATGTACTTTACGTTTTAAATGGCTGTGGGATTGGATGACGGAATGAATGACGGTTCCATTGAAACATGTTACTGTCTTTTTTGTTGCTGTGTTGACGTATAAACAAATAAATGAATAACACAACAACATTCCCAGGAGCTGATAATGGTAATGGCGCTGCGATTATCTCGTCTTTGCGACCCTTCGACCGTGAACAACAAAAATCCTACCTCATACCCATCGAAATCAAAGACAATGGCTCACCAGCCATGACTGGCACTTCAACATTAACAGTAATTATAGGAGATGTTAATGATAATAAAATGCTGCCAGGCAGCAAGGAAGTGCTGGTCTATAATTATCAAGGTCAGTCACATGACACTCCCATTGGGCGGGTGTATGTCCACGATCTGGACGATTGGGATGTAGTGGATAAAAAGTACTATTGGGAACAACAAGAACATCAACGTTTCAAACTGGATACCGATACGGGTATTGTCAATATGAAAGCTGGCACTCGTAGAGGTCGCTATAACCTGCGCTTCAAAGTTTATGATCGTGAGCAGGGCCAAGTAGATGTGCCGTCGAATATGACGGTCATAGTTAGAGATATAACCCAGGAGGCTGTACAACAGGCGGGTTCCATGCGCCTGTATGGTATTAGTGATGAAGAATTCGTGCGCACTTGGGATTTCATGCAGCACAAGCAGGTGCGTTCCAAACTGGAAAAATTTCGTGATAAATTGGCTGAATTACTTTACACCGAGCGCGATATGGTTGATGTGTTTAGTGTCCAGACGAAAAGTGAAGGTTTTACAGATGTTCACTTTGCTGCCCGCCCTGCCAATCAACAGCCCTACTTTAAGGCCGTCAGATTGAACGGTGTAGTGTTAATGCAACGTGAGGAAATAGAACGAGAGCTGGGTCTCAACATCACCATGGTGGGCATAGATGAGTGTCTGCAGGAGCCTGGTAAATGTGAGGGTTCTTGCACGAATCGTGTAGAAATCAATAGACTTCCTTATACAGTCAATGTTAACAAAACTGCCTTGGTAGGCGTAAGACTAGACATAACCGCCGAATGTTATTGCAAGGCCCGCAATTACAGCAAAGAAGACTCCTGCCGCACAATGAACTGTTTTAATGGTGGCCGCTGTGTGGAGACTCGTAACGGTCCACGTTGTGTGGCCTGTCCTATAGGCTATAATGGTCCGAGATGTCAACAAAATACCCGAAGTTTTAAAGGCAATGGCTGGTCCTGGTATCCACCTCTTCAGCTGTGCGAAGAGTCACATTTGTCTTTGGAGTTTATTACCAAAGAAGCCGATGGTTTGATTTTATACAATGGTCCCATAGTGCCTCCCAAAGCTGACGAGCTGGTACTCACCGACTTTATAGCCATTGAACTGGAACAGGGTTATCCTCGTTTACTAATAGATTTTGGCTCTGGCACGTTAGAATTGAGAATAAAAACTAAAAAGACTTTAGACGATGGTGTATGGCATAGGCTGGACATATTTTGGAATAGCGAAAACATACGCATGGTAGTGGACTTTTGTCGTTCGGCAGATGTCTATGAAATGGAGGATGGCTCTACGCCTGAGTTTGATGATAACACCTGCCAGGCTCAAGGCACTATACCACCTTTCAATGAGGCTCTCAACTTAAATACACCCCTACAACTGGGTGGTCTTTATAGACAACATTTCGATCAGTCGCTCTTCCACTGGCAATATGCCTTTACCTCCAAAGGATTTGATGGCTGCATAAGAAACGTTGTGCACAATTCGGAACATTATGATTTAGCATTTCCCGCCTTGGCACGCAATAGCTATCCCGGCTGCCCTCAAACCGATGAGGTTTGTTTGAAAACCGATCACACTGCCAGATGTTGGGAACAAGGTAACTGTGTGGCTAGTTTAGTGCAGGCCAAATGTCACTGTCAGCCCGGCTGGATGGGACCCATGTGTAATATACCCACCATACCTACAACGTTCAAACCCCAAAGTTATGTCAAATTTGCCTTATCCTTTGAACCCGATCGTTTCTCCACCCAACTGCAGCTACGTTTTCGTACACGCGAAATGCAGGGTGAAATCTTTCGTGTCTCTGACCAACATCATCGTGAGTATGCCATATTGGAACTTCATCAAGGACATCTACAATTCAGATTTAATCTGAACTCTTTAAGGCCAGAAGAACACAATGTTGCCCTCACCTCCATCACCGTAAATGATGGTCAATGGCACGTGGTAAAAGTGAGCCGTTATGGTTCCGCTGCTCTTATCGAACTCGATGGTGGTGAGGGTAGACGTTATAATGAAACATTTAATTATCATGGCCATCAGTGGCTGACGATTGACAAACAGGAGGGAGTGTATGCCGGTGGCAAGGCCGAGTATACAGGAGTTAAAACTTTTGAAGTCTTGGGAGATTTTCAACGTTCCTGTCTAGATGATATCAGGTAAGAATGATTTATGTATATATGTATATACGGTTTGTGTTTGCTTGTGTAAACCTTTAGAGGTTAAATGGGACAAGTGTTTATTAAGGTGTTTTAATAAGTCATTTAAAAGAGTGAAATGTTTAGCAAGAAATGAAAGAAAAATTGTGTGAATGAGTGTTATTGATATCCAATATAATGTGCAATGAATTAATACTTTCATATATCTCATTTTATATTTTAACTGTATAATGATTTAATTCTTTTAAACATTTTTTTTGCACATTTCAACTGTATCTTCTTACTATAATAACTTTATCTACTTCGTGCACATGTGTATGTGTCATTAGGAAAACTGCTTTAAAAGTGTTAAATGCTGTAATATATAACCGACAGTTTTGAAAGTGGTCAAGGGAACCTATTAAGTACATAGTAATTTCCACAATTTATATCTGTGGCTAATGTCATTTATAAAGCAAACAAAAGTTAACTGATTACATTGCCTTATACAGGTAATCAACCCTGGGATCGATTGTTACTTTAGTATTTCAAACTTTTACTCGTTTGAAATATGTTTTTAGTCAAAGACCGTAAACGAAGTTCGGTTTAGATTATATGTATTAAATTACCCGTTCAAAACAGTTACCCGGAATAGCTGGTTAGTTACACGCTGGTATGTATGTATGTGTTTATTTATATATGTACACATGACCTTTGCACTGTCTTTATTGTGTCACTAATCTTACTTTATCTCTTTACCGTGTTGTGTGACCTGTTAAGAAGTTTATAAATTTGATTTGACTTTCTTTTAGGGTTCTTTTCATAGTAAGTGTAATGTTTTTTCTACATTTAACTAATTTTTGTCTGTACAACAGTCTTTTACTTATTTATTTAAGGTCACAAATTGTGTACTACTGGTCCATTTTAATGTTATTCAATTAAAATTTATGTTTACTTTGACGTTTCAATATAAAAAGGGGTCAAATGTTGTAGGTGGAAAAAAAGAAGATGTACAATCAGTAGTAAATTAAGAAAACTTACTTTTAAATTTATTTTATTAAAGTAAAATTAAATTAATTGAATCTCAGAAAAAGGTTGCAGATGGAAAACATCAGTTTAAATTCATAGAAAACAATCAATGCAAGGCGTTTTGTCATTGTACCTTCGATTTTAGAAGGAATCGTTATTCTATCGTGAATATATTACCGTCTGATAATGTGTCACTGGAATAAATTTTTTATACCCACCATCAAAAAAGATGGGGGGTATAATGATTTTGTCATTAAGTGTGTAACACATATTCTGGGACCTCGTAAGATTCTAAGACGATCTAGCTATGTCCGTCTGTCTGTTGTTGGCACTATAGCGTCCACAAAAAAGAGATATTGAGATAAAATTTTCCCAAAACATTTTTTATTGATCAGAAATGTATGGTATTGAAAATGGGAAAAATCGGTCAACGATCTCACATAGCCCCAATACAAATTTATCCCCGGAATATTGTGTAAAAAGCTTCAAACATTCACAAATTCGTTGTTTATGAAGCAAATGGCACAAAATTCCGCATAAGTCAGTTTTTTAACTTCCGAAATAAAATTCTGAATTATGGCGGACCACAATTGGTCCTTCCCCCCATATAAGGTCCCCTTTTGAAAATGACTAAAATGCTGATTACTGGCTTAAACATACGAATCTAGCGATGAAATTTGCAACACATAGGTTTCATGCAAGCCAATATTTCTCCACTAAACTATATGTGGATCGGCCCATAATTGACCCTACCCGCCATATAAGGTCCCCATCAGAAAATGACTTTAAGGCTCATTATTTGCGTAAAAATACGAGTATAGCGATGAAATTTGACATAAGTAAGTTTTATACAGGTGAAAATCTCTCCACCAAATTTTATGTGGATCGTCCATAATTGACTCTACCCCCCATATAAGGTCCCCTTCATAAAATTACTTTAACGCTCATTACTGGATTAAAATACGAGTATAACGATGAAATTTCACAGGAGTAAGTTTTATGTGAGCAGAATTTCTGTGGATCGGTCCATAATTGGCCGTACCCGCCTATATAAAGTCCCCTTCAGAAAATGACTTTATCAAGTATAGCGAAGAAATTTTACATAAGTAAGTATCTTAGGAGTCAAAACCTTTCCAGCAGATTTTATGTGTATCGGTCCATAATTGACCATAAAATTACTTTAACGCTCATTACTGGCTTAAATATAAGAGTATAGCGATGAAATTTCACAGAAGTAAGTTTTATATGAGCCAAAATCTCTCTACCAAATGTTATGTTGATCGTCCATAATTAACCCTTCGACACTGATAACTTCTATAGGAACCGAAATCTCTCTATCAATGTAGTCAAACCAAAAGGTCTTCTTGATTGTATTTAACACCTGACAACTTGTCAAATAAATATGAGTTCCAGGGTTTGAGTACATGCGGAGTTTCTGCGACAAATTCTCAACAAATGGGTCATTCCTAAAGGGAACATAACAAAGGCCAAAAAACCTTCATATAAAGTTTTAGAGATATCGGTTCTTTTAGATCATATTTGAGACGTTTTACTATCATAAAGACATCTTTGTTTGTAAAATCTGTTATGTCGTCTTAAAGGCCAATAGATGTTTAACCTCTGTTATATATAGGCTTCCTTCTTCGAAATAGAAGTACAATTCGAGTTTCGAGTTCAGCATAGCTCAATCCTTTTGTATCTAAAAATCAACTTTTTCAAACATTGTTGTCCTATGTAAATTTCGACTGGTTGTCTAAAAACCGTTGTTTTTCCCGATTGCTAGTATTTTTGGTTTTAATTAGTATTAATTATTATACACCATTACCAACGCACAGTGGTATAGGAAAAAAAAAAGAGGGAAATAATTCGGTAACTTCTAAACGGTTAATCCGATTTTAATGAAATTTGGTATGCACAAAGAGGAGGTGTTGTCGAGTTTAGGTTTTGAATTTGGACCTTATAGGCCAACCAGGGGCCCGGCGGGGGGTCCTCAAATTAGGACACCTCGGCTATGTTAAATTTTTAAAACGATCCTATTTCTTCATTTGAGTTCCGATTTAAAAAAAATTTCGTATATAGAATCTCCTCATCGAGCACTATAAAAAATGTCGTCATAGCAGTAAATTATCTCTTATAGTTTAGGAGATATTCGCATTTGAAAATTAAAATTTTAAAATTTTTACCGTTCTTACTTTAGTTTTTTGATAATAGCGGGTCCAAATATTCCCGATTTTCGCCATTTCTTTTTTTATTCGCTTAACAACAAGTTTATATATCAAGCAGTGAAAGAATTATGTAAAAATCATGACTGAGTCCAAAGTTATAGGCATTTTAATTTAAAAAATTAAAAAAAGGCGATTTTTTGCCATTTTTTTGGGAAAAAAGTATCTTTTTCTTTTTAAGTTATCTAAAAAGTTTCTAAGAAGATGTATATAGAATTTATACTTTTTGAAAAGCTGACTTTACATAAAATACGATAAATGAAACAAAACCTAAAAATTTTTGATACCGAGGGGACCAGGTCCATCCAAAAAACCCTATTTTTTTATAGAAAATTCAATTTTGAGCATAAATTCTCAAATCGCATAGTCGATATCAAATTATAGTGACCTGTTTTATATGACCCAATATGTTCTTAATCATTTTGTAACGGGTTTCGATAACCCCGCCCCTGGTATGGATATAATAGGCAAAAAACCAAAAAATCCCATTTTTGGGATTTTTTAAAACTTTTTTGGGAATTCCGGGATTTCTAATAAGAAAATTCGAACTTTTTATTTAATTTTAGATTTTGAGTAAAAAAATCTACCTAACTGTAAAATTTCATCAAAAAATATTCATAAATAAAATTTTTATTGCAATTTGAAAAATTTGTATCTTCGCAAAAACTGAATAAAAAACATTTTTTAATTTTTTTAAAAAAAGTATTCCGCGATTTTTTTAATTTTCAAAAATTATATACAGTTTTGAAAAATAGACAAAATTACCTTTCCATTGATATATAACATGCCTACCTAATGTTTTTTAAGTGACAAATTAATTAGGGAAAACTCAACATCTTTTAGAAAATTTACCTAGCACTATTATTTTCATCCATAACGTTAACTCTTAAATTTGTTACATATATTAAAAAATTTTCAGGTATTATTTTTTAAACAGTAATGATTTTTACCCCTATAGGTCACTTTAATAGGTAGCTTATTAAAGTGACCTATTGAGGAAAAATTCATTACATAAGGATACGTTAGACATATTAGGTAGAATATCATAACCCTTTAAAAAATAATTTAATTTAAGTACCTGTAATTAATATATAAGACAGGTTTATATCTGTTTGTAATTATTTGTAATTTTCTAACCATGGCGATCGTACTAAAAAAAATGATTTGTGCTCCATTTTATTTGAACACTCTTCAGCTCCTTTTCAAGATAAAGTGAACTTCTTATTGAAATATATTGAAACTGCACATAAAATAAAGTGGATAAAACTGATATATGTAAAATTGAAAATTTTATAAAATCAGTTGATATAAAACTGAAGAGTGTTCGGTATTCCATTGCTAAATTTCGATCGAAATTTTCTGATTGGCTGGATGAATGTGTAGAAGTTGCTATTTGCGTATCAACTGTTGGTGCTCCCTGTAAGCAGTATGAGGATTTGAGCTCAAAATCTAAGAGGAAAAGGTTATCAACTTCACTAGAAACCTTATCTAACGAAGAAGTTTCGGACACTTTTAAAGCAATGTTAAGAAAAGAAAAACAGCCTTTGGATGCCATAAAAATTGCAAATATTCTTCCAACCGCATCACCAAGACGACTGAAAAGAATTGTAAAGAGTATACCCACACCATCATCTGATACAACGTTCACTGAGGAAGAAGCTATTGCGCTTATGTTGCAGCTGGGATTAAGTCGTGATAACTACATAACGTTAAGAAAGGCGCTATCTGAAAAAGGAGTGGATGTTTTACCATCATATGACAAAATAAATG